AAAAAAGTTGCTACAAGTTTATTTTCTCTGCATTCGCCTTTTATACTTAGAATTCAGAACACATGCGTGCATGTTTTTGGGAGTTGGCTTCTGTTGGGTATGATGGCTTTTGCCTCCCTCCTACAAGGCCTGCTGGAAGGAGTCTAGTTTTTAATCCTTTACTGCTATCAGTTCCTCCCTACTCCATCTTTTCTCCATCCTGACTCCAAAATTTCTGAAAAGCAAACACCACATCACTCTACAGAAGGCCCAGGATGCTACTTCAGGCCAGCCCTATTGCTGCACTTCCAGAAAGTCATTACATAGGTGCTTCCAAATCCATTCTTGCTCAGCAGGAAGGAAGGCTGTCCTTGCAGAGAAAGCAGAGGCCCATACAACAATCCCATGTCTAACCCTCTCAACATCAGAGCCTTGAAAAGTTACCTCCCCTTTTTGGGGGGTGGGATAACTCCCAGAAGTCACCAGTCATGCTGAATTAGGAACATTGCAGTCCAAAACAAAGCAACTTGTCCAAGCTCTGTTCAAGACTTATCTCTTAGAGCAACAAATGAATCTTAAGAAGCTTTCTGCAATAATGGTTGTTGGGGGTTTTTCAGACTCTTTGGCCGTGTTCTGAAGGTTGTTCATCCTAACGTTTCACCAGTCTCTGTGCCTGGCACCTTCAGAGGACAGCACTCTGTGCTCTGGTGTAGTTGGCTTGGGAATGCAGTATTTATGGCTGTGAGATAGGCTTTTGTCTTTTTCTGTAGATGGGTGATTAGTGTGTCTTGTTGTGGGTGTATTGTTGTGCTAAGGAGAAGAGAAATGTTAGGAAGAACAACCTTCAGAACACGGCCAAAGAGCCCGAAAAAACCCACAACAACCATTAGATCCCAGCCGTGAAAGCCTTCGTGAATACATTTCTGCAATAAGTTTGGTACCTCTTAAACGTTTTTCTCCGCTGGGAGAGAAATGTTTTAGTCTTTTTGGTCTCCAGCAATTTAACAAATCAGGACATGGGCAACTTGTAATACATCGCATGCTGTTGGACTGTAGCTTTCACCAGCTCTAGTCAGTGTAGGCAGCGGAGAGAGGAGGCTGATGTTGTGACAGTCCAACAACATCTGGGGAACCACATGTTGACTGCTGCCCTATCCTCCCAACTGCAAGCATGCAGTTAGGCTTGTCTGCAGAAGTTATCTTCTCTACAAGCATATTTTGAAGAAAATATTGGAAATAATAGGTTTTGATTACAGTACATTGGTTGATCTGCGGTGGTGGAAGAGGACGAGGCTAAGATGTTCTCGGGCAAGGAGCTGATGGGAATGCTTTGTGATGACCCATAGCTTCCCGATTCTAAAGCAATAGAGCCATTTACACCCTACATGTCTCTGGGCTCAATTTGAGCCAGCTGTGAAACAAGTCACTTATGGAGATCAGTGACTCCAGAGTCTTATGCTGCAGTCTTAACAGTAAACATCAACCCCAACCTGATTCCACCCATTGGGAGCAGTCGCAAGATTTCCAAGTCAAATAGCAACGTTTCCAGGTAGACCTTCATCCCGGCATCCTTTTAGAGTAGTATCTTTGTCCCACTGCTAGCTTCAGTTCAACCTGGACACTAAAACAGCCATTCAAGAGAGTCCTTTGGTTAACTGGTCACAGTCAAGTCTGGCTCACTTAGAGCACCACACAAGACCAGCCCAGTGGTGGCACTGATGGTCCAAAGGGCTAAGAACAGGTCCCCTCCCACTGGATCACACAGCTCTTCAATATACATGCTTCATGGCAGAAGGGTAATACTTCAGAAATATCTTTGTGGCTATCTCCAGTGTACTGCCAGTTGCCTTGGCTGGGTATCGTTTCCCATTGTAAATAAATCCCCTTTCCACCTGAAAGACTGCTTGGTTGAACTGGTTCTGGTGGAAAGGTGTTCCAGTGTTGAGACATTCCACCAAAGTGGATACAAAGAGACTCCAGCGCACACCATAATAGTCAAGCACCAACCCTCCAAACTGCTTATTGGCATAGTCCAAGATGTTGCCACTGGGCCCCCAGAGAGTCAGCTGGTTGCGTGCGTTGAGGTCATACAATTCTGCCTCTCTGTCACTGGTGGCTACATTGCGAGCAGCTTCCAGCCAAAAGCCCAACAAAAAACGCCCATCACTGGATAGGAGATTGTCCAATTCTGGGAGGAGGTCATAGACCAAGACACCACCTGTCATTAGGAGGCGGGAGAGCGTGTGGTTTTGGAAAGCCTGCTTGATCTCCAAATAATAATCACTCACCAGCTGCTGCATAGCTTGCCGTGTCACATCCACCAGGTCATAGCAGAAAGTGTTGCTGGCACCAAGCTCACTGGCTGAGCTAAGCAAGAGCCGCCAGGCTTCATAGACATCACTCTTGTTGTACCACAGGTCTGTGACCATGCGCAAAGAAGGACGGTGCACAAGCGGGCTATGGTTATGGTTTACACACACTCCTGAGCAATTGTAGACACTTCGGAGCAGCAGTTGCCATGCCTCCGTGGCCTGTGTGTTTGTAGTGCCATAGCGCTGAGTAGCATACTTGGCTGTCCACTGCTGAAGATCCAACGGCTCCCTCTGCCAGCCCAGGTCTGTCATCAGCTCATACATTATGTCGTTCTGCTCAATCCCTTCAGGGGTCAGGCCAACACCCACCATGGTAGAGTTGAGGAAGGATCTAGCCTTGAAAGGACCCTGGTTTATGCTTTCCACTGTGCCAAAAAGGCCATGATTCCCCCCAAAGTTGTGAAGCATACACCAGATGAAAGGCTGCCCATAGAAGGAGTCTGTCCATGAAAAGACAGGCTTGGATTCTGCAAAAAGATCCAGCACTATCATCCTGCCAAGAGGCACACCATGCAAGAGGGCTTGGACTTGTGGAGGCCGCCAGAAGTCAGGCTGGTGTTGAAAAAGCCAACCCTGCATCAGCCACAGGGCACTGGGGTCAGCTGGGGGAGAAACGTAATTGATTACTAAAAGAAGCAATAAAAGGACTAGAAAGACACAGATGCAAACCACTAGTTGTATTTACAAAGCTGTAGCACATTTTCAATCTCATATACAGTGGTGCCTCGCTTAACGAGCGCACCGTATAACGACGAATCCGCATAGCGATCCTGTTTTCGGGATCGCTAATGCGGAGGCATAGCGTTGGCCCCAATGGGCAAAACTCGCATAGCGAAGATTGGTAAGCGTTTCGCTTACCGATCTTCGCTTTGCGACGCCACGGATCAGCTGTTTGGCGGTTCCAAAATGGCCACTGGAAGCCCCGAAATGGCCGCGCGCAGCATTTTCACGCTCTCCCCTCGCTTACCCAGGGCGCGAAAATGGCTGCCGGACCCTGGAAACTTCGCTAAATGGTGAGTTTTGTGCCCATTTGGAACATATTAAACGATGTTTAATGCGTTCCAGTGGGCTTCCCCGTTCCGTTTAGCGAAGTTTTCACATAGCGAAGGTTAATCCGGAACGGATTAGCCTCGCTATGCGAGGCACCACTGTACTTTAAATTCACTGAAGATACTGTCAATGTTTATACTTCTACAATGAAAACCTATGAACAGTCCTGTCCATCACATAATGATAACCTAGGATACTAATGTGGTACAGGGAGAGGACTTCAGCTGAGGAAATCTCAATTCAGATTTACAGCCAATCCAAAAACATGGTGATCTTTAGCAAGTCTTGTAATATGTTTTGTTCTTATGTCAAGGGAGAGGCAGGTGGCAGTAAGTGATGTATTAGTTACACTTATATCACTGCCTGTTCTTCAGTGAGCTAGCTCAGTGGTTCTCTTGCTCCCAACTTTGCCCTCACAATTGCCCTGTGAGGTAGGGCAGGCGGTCAGAGAACATCTGGCCCAAGCTCACCCAGTGAGTTGCATGGCTAAGTGAGGATTAGGATCTAGACTTCCCAAGTCCCAGTCCAGCACTCTAACCACTATATCACACTGTCTCCCATGGAAGACAGAATCTTACAGGAGCACCACACCTGCTGTGCAACTCTTTCCCAAGACAGATTCGACTGGCTCCTTTTTTGATAGTTGTTAGACCAGCAATTAAGAAGCTTATACTACAGCAGGGGTGGGCAATTAATTTCTATAGGGGGCCACATGAAAAATCTGAACTGTGTTCTGGGATGGGTAGTAATAGGCCCCCAATTTGTGGGTAGTAATAGGCCCCCATTGGGTGAGGCCCTGGTCCAGGCCACAGACACAGATCTCCTGCTACCCCTGCACGCACTCCCCCCACCCACCTGACTTGCACGCACAGCCCACCACCTGCACACGTGAGTGCCCCTCCCGCCCATGAGCGTGCCCCCACCCTTTCGCGCACGCACACTCCACCTCCTGTGAGCGTGTCCTGCCCCCCCACGAGTCCTAGGGGGTGCCAAAAATTTCAAAGCTCTTTCTATGCACTGATGTACAATTTCAAATCCTTTCTGGGAAAGATCTCTTCAGTCTACCAGCGCTTGTCCAACTCAGAAAAGGATGTAAGCAATTGCAGTAATTCCCAGCCTTAGGTCCCCAAATGACATCGACATGGCATTTGGACTTTAGTTTGCTGAAGTCTCAGCCGGCATGACTAATGCTAAAAGATTCTGGGAGTTGTAATCTAGTCTTACAGAACCACTAACCTAGAGAAGCTTAAGAGGGAAAAATTGGTTTGTAGAATAAGAGAATCTGTTGTACCGTACCTCCCGTCATGGAGCGGAAGACAGCTGCGCTGACCTTGGACAAGTAGGCCGGATTGGATGAGAGCGGGCGCATCTCATTGAAGGTGTCGGCACTATACACATGATCTGTTCCAAACTCCTTGATCAGTTCCTTTAGAAAGAGGGTCCCAATGACCTGGAACATGGGGTCTTCAGGTGATAAGAGGTAGGCACAGGAGTAGGTGCAATCAAAGTGACTCCAGCTCCCCAACCGTGTGACGTTGACCCGAGGGAAAACCCTAGGGTAGCATGGAAAAATAAACAGAGGAAAGAACTGTTGCATTAGCGGCACCTTCTAATTTATTATTGTCTGCCAAGTGTTTTAAAGTATTTTTTTCCACCACCCAGATTAGAGTCAAGACAAGGGGATGAAACACCAACATTTCAAAGGGTGGAGAATGGGAACGGATGGGAGAGGCCATGCCATCCTCTTCAGAGCTGTGCCAATTCGTCCCTAGGGTCAACTACCTCCTCCTCCGACACCCCATTCCAAGTATATCTCCTCTAGATCACTTTATTTGCACTGGACAGAATTTGGACACATAGATCAGTACATGAACATATCAGCCTGCCTGTCACACCCTCTTTGTCCCAGACAAGGTAGTATAGCTGAAGCAACTTATTAGTAAAGGAGGAAAATCCTCTGCAAGGCCTCAAAGGCAATTTTCAGTGTTATTCTTTCACTCAGTCCTGAATTTTTCCCCAGAAGTTACCTCCAGTTCCCACACTTGTTTCCACATGCTTATTGTCGTGGGTAGCATCTTCTCCCTCTCTGTCTCCAAAATATCCACAAAGTTGTAGCCATGGTCTAGTAGTTCCATGCACCTGTGTCATGGACTCTCCAATTATCCCACAGGGGTGTGTGTGCTGAGGCTAGTAGCCCCAGGCACCATTCCTGTCACCTCCAAATAGGGCTTGGAAAGACTTTTGCCCAAAACTCTGTAAAGTCCCCGTTGGTCACAGTAGATCATGGGAAGATTATCCAAATACTGTTGAGCTACAACTTCCATCAGCTCTTATCAAGACAGCCAATAGGGACTATGAACGGTCACCTCCAAATAGGGCTTGGAAAGACTTTTGCCCAAAACTCTGTAAAGTCCCCGTTGGTCACAGTAGATCATGGGGAGATTATCCAGATACTGTTGAGCTACAACTTCCATCAGCTCTTATCAAGACAGCCAATAGTTAGGGACTATGAATGCTAAGAGGGATGCGGTGGTGCTGCAGGTTAAACCACAGAAGCCGCTGTGCTGCGAGGTCAGAAGACCAGCAGTCGTAAGATCAAATCCACGCGATGGAGTGAGCTCCTGTCGTTTGTCCCAGCTTCTGCTAACCTAGCAGTTTGAAAGCATGCAAATGTGAGTAGATAAACAGGTACCACCGCGGTGGGAACATAACGGTATTCCATGTCTAGTCGCGCTGGCCATGTGACCACAGAAACTGTCTACAGACAAACGCTGGCTCTATGGCTTGGAGATGGGGATGAGCACCATGCCCGAGAGTTGAACATGACTGGACTAAATGTCAAGGGGAACCTTTACTTTTACCTTATGAACGCTGCAGCATCGGGAAGACCCCACATTTCCCAGACTTGGGTAAGACAATATTGATCTACATTAAATGCTACTCCCCCAGCAAATGTTGTTTACTACTCCCAGAATCCCAAAGCCAGCATGACCATGAAAGGATTCTGGGAGCTGTATCCCAAAACTCAATGTTTCCAAGCCTCCCAGAATCCCCCAGCCAGCATGACCACGAAAGGATTCTGGGATCTGTATCCCAAAACTCAATGTTTCCAAGCTCTGTCCCAACCCTGTTTTCTGCTCATGTGCACAACAACCAAACTTTTCACCTCAAAATCCCATGAGGGACATGTCCAGAGAAGGCAGGCAGCACCGTCAGCATTCCGAGGGTCCGCATCCTTTCCAGGATCCTGTACTGGGAAGGGAAAAGCAGCACCGTTATGAGGGCTACAGAAGGGTCCACTTTGTGCTCCACCATCCTGAGCAATCACTTCCAAAACCAGGTTCCCTTCTAGAAGAGAGTGGACCAAGTTGCATGCCCAACATCTCTATGCTATCAAGCTCTAGACGTCTGACACCACTTTCAGTACCATGCTGCATCCTGCACAACCCCAAAACCTGCAGACTGATGCAGTATTTGGATTTCTCTGCAGTTGTTCAGGAAAGGCACTACAGCCTTTCTAAGTACCTCACCAGTTTGCAAACCCAGGATTCAAATGGATGGCAGTTAAAGTGGAATCAAACTTCTACAAATGTGTATTCTAGACATACCAGAAATAAGAGAGATCTAGGATATATTCTCCAGACATTTTTTACTCTTCTGCTCAAAGGGGCACACTGTTTGGTCAAGGGCGGGGGATTAGAGAAAGGGATTTTGAACCTTCACCCTCTACAGTCTGACTTGCCAGTGAAGCAGTGAAAGTTGGACAACTGCCTCAGGCTGTTGTCTGGAGGGTTGTGTATTCTAGACATACCAGAAATAAGAGGTCCAGGATATATTCTCCAGAATTTTTTTTACTCTTCTGCTGAAAGGGGCACGCTGTTTGGTTAAGGGATTTTGAACCTTCAACCTCTACAGCCTCCTGACTTGCCAGTGAAGCAGTGAAAGTTGGACAACTGCCTCAGGCTGTTGTCTGGAGGGTAGCATTCCCCCCAAAACTCTTTCATCTTTTCCCTCCCTGGAAAATATAGTGCCAGTGAAGCAGTGAAAGTTGGACAACTCCCTCAGGCTGTTATCTGGAGGGTAGCATTCCCCCAAAAACTCTTCCTCTTTTCCCTCCCTGGAAGGAAAAGATGAAGATTGTGTGGCATATAGGTCTGCTTGAAACATATATGCCACACAAACTGTCCTGCCACCCCCAGAACTAGCCAGCCACCCTAAGGTGTCGTTCTGGTCAGCTTCTGTACAAGGAATGGAAGAGGCACCAACTAGGCCTTTGCCTCAGAGAAAAGCCCTTCCTGATACCGGCAGGTACGCATCTTAAGACAAATCTGAAGATATGTTAGGTGCAGCTCAAACAAAGTTCAAGTGAGAAGAACTAATACACAGCAGGAAGGCAAAGGCCTCCCCCCCAGCGACTGGAGCCACAGGCTTAGGCTAACCACCAAGCTTAGACCCAGGTACCTGCAGGTAGAGTTGCTTCAGGTGCCATGAAAGCGGGAGTGGCCCAGCCCAGGTATGCAGGTTCCCCATCCGGTTCCAAGCCAGAAAAGCTGGGCCTGTGAAATATTCATTAATTTCAGACTGGTTTAGACCCAGGGACAAATACACCTGGAAACAGAGAAGGAAGGTTTTTAATTATTCATTGCTATGAGCTGCTTTTGGAGATAATTTTTGCATAAAACAAGGTTCTAAAAACTCAATGCAATAATATTAAGTCAAAAAGATCCAATACTCTACCCGCTGCCAGATGGCTTCCTGCCCGGTGAACGCCAATGCCATGTTGATGCCATGGAGTGCCATCCAATCGATCTCTCGCTCCCAGCGGTCCCAGTTCCACCAGACGTATGAGTAACTCTGGGTGCAGACATTCTGATAGAAGCGGAACCTTGGCAGAAAGATTAATAAGAGCTGTGAAATATATCCCGATTGTTTTTGTCTGCTTGAAACATCTGGAGTTGTTTGCTGTCAACATAAGTTTGTGTAACACACCTGTTCCATTGCTGCTTGAGATATATGGAAGCTATTGTTGTCACTGAATATTCTACCTTTACTCAAATAAGCTCATGGCAACACACGCAGTTTTTGTCTTCAATATTTTATCTTCAGAACATCCTGTGAAAATAGCTAGCAGTATGTTTTGCCACCTAGTGAGACTAGCACCTCTCTATTATTATATATTTATTATCATGTTTTAATATTGCTTTTTATATTGCTGTTAGCCACCCAGAGTGACCTGGTTGCCAGATGGTGCGAGGTATATATCTAATAAATAAATAAATTTTCAAGTTCCAGTCCAGTATTCTAGTAATGAATAGTAATTTGTCTTATTAATTTGAGTGATGTTGTAATGTTGTGGCTAGAAGCAGGAAGCTTCAATGAGCTCAATGGAGAAAATAAGGTATATAAATGCAACTAATAAATAAAACATTCCACACAGACTCTCAGAGGGGAGGGGGAGGGAGAACTGGTTCTCATCCTCCCTTTCTGCTCATTCGGTCAAGCCCAGTAGGTACCGGGACCACTCTGTTTGCACCATGCTTCGTCTTGCATGTCCAATGTCACGTCAGTCTTGCCACTCTCATCCTTTCAAGTATCAGCTCAATTAGCTGACCTCATTAGAAAGGGTGTCCCTTGGACTGCCAGTGGACAAAGGTCCTGGCACAAATACGGAGGTTGGCAGGATGAAGGAAGCCTTGCGTGACATGAGTGCTTGTGCCACAGAAGAAAAGGAGAAAGGTCAGTGGTGTGTCACCATTTGCCCTAGCCTGAGGGAAAGCAATTGTGCCACAAATGGCTGGGCATTTCTAGAATAGCTTCCCCCCCAAGAGCTTGGCCTGTCAACTCAAAGCAGCTACTCTTCATGACTTGTGATAATCACTATGATTTTGTCTACGTAACACACATGCAGTTATTACTATTATTACTGCTGCCACCCTGTTTCCCTGAAAATAAGACATAAGCTGAAAATAAGCCCTAGTATGATTTTTCAGGATGCTCATAATATAAGCCCTACCCCCCAAAATAAGCCCCACTTAAGTGAAGCCCTGCCCTCCACCATTGTGCAGCAACCAGGAGATGATGACATGACTGTATCTGAAAAAATTTAGATTGTTGTACAGTACATGAAAAAAAAACATCCCCCGAAAATAAGTTCTAATGCGTTTTTTGGAGTAAACATTAATATAAGACCCTGTCTTATTTTTGGGGAAACACGGTACTTCACATTTTATAGTCCCTCTAGCACTTCTTTCTGTGACCTGGTGGACAAAATTAAAGCAGTGTTGCTTATTTGCAACGCTCCTTGTGTGGCTGCAATGTAATGCATTAGTGCAGGACACTCGGCCCGAGTGCAACTGCAGCTGTCCCATGGAAGACCTTGCTGGGGATGGAAAGAATACTTACTAAACATACTCATTCTCCCTCATTTAGCCTGTCTTGACAGAACAAGACACCTGATGTAGGAATATCAAATCCCAAATCTCTTGTCTCCAGCTGAGAATTAGACCAAGACTCTTCTCCATTCCCAACGTCTCTTTAATTAGCACAAAATATTTCTAGTGTCCTCTGTCTTTTGAGAACAAAGACACAGAGCAAGCACCAAAGGATGTAAGAATTGTTAAACATTCAAACAATTGGCAGTTATGCTGATTGCACCATTTTGCACCCAAATAGGCAAGCTTGCACAAAAGTGGGCTAATTCTGCACAAAAGATTGCTCATGGCAATCAAACTCCACTGGCAGCGCGAGGAATTGACTCATCAGCAAGAAGACTGCTGTAGTTCCTTCTCTACCAATGCAAGGAAGAGACAAGAGATTTACAACTCTAAGCTTCCTAGCTAGGAGGAGAGAAAGAGAAAAGAGTTGCAGCAACATTAAGCAATACTGTCAATGAACAAGGGTGGCCACTATTTGCCATTGGGCAAATTATACAAAGTTAAATTAAAGAGCACAAACACATGCATACACACAGAGGGAGATGTGCCTCTTCCATACAGCAACATCAGAATGGAAAATCTCAGTACACTAGCATCCATATAGAAGCTTTGAAATTTATTGTGAACTAGGCCCCCGGGCCTGGGTGCCTCAGGCCAAATTTTCAGGGGAAGTAGTGCCCTCTGCCTGGTCACAAGCTTCCTATGGCGCTACACTCGAGGCCACTTGGAAGCTGTTCTTGTCTGGAAGTTTTCTACTAAACTCCCTGCCCTTGATTGGTTAAAGTCTTGCTTAGACTGAAGAGGGGAGGGGAAATCACTTTGTACATGTTCAGTTACTTCTATTACATTATTAGAGTTGGTGCTATATTGTTGCTCTCATAAAAAATGCCTTGAGTTCTTTTAAAGCTGCCTTGGGTTCCTTTAAGGAGAAAGCCAAGGTAAAAATATTTTAAATAAATTTCAATAAATAAAGAAATAAATACTGTAATGATAATGGTGGTTGTGGGTTTCTCGGGCTCTTTGGCCATGTTCTGAAGGTTGTTCTTCCTAACGTTTCGCCAGTCTCTGTCCTCTAAAGACGCCTGGCGAAACGTTAAGAACAACCTTCAGAACACGGCCAGCCAGCCCAAAAAAACCCACAGCAACCATTAGATCCCGGCCGTGAAAGCCTTCACGAATACAAATAATGATAAGCTTATCCCTAGACTGAACGATGCCACTGAATGTGACCTGTGATGAGGTGACACTATCCCCCGCATTTTGTATGGTGAGCCGCTGCCCACCTTCCTCCACCTGTCAGCCACGCCTATCTGAGGACTGAATGGATTAACACAGTGGTTCTTAACCTTGGGTTATTCAGGTGTTTTTGAACTGCAACTCCCAGAAACCCCAGCCAGCACAGCTGGTGGTGAAGGCTTCTGGGAGTTGCAGTCCAAAAACACCTGAGTAACCCAAGGTTAAGAACCACTGGATTAGCACATCATGTAGCAGCGTTGTGTCTTAATAATTCTTTGACACTACAGCTTTCCCAGTCACTGCTGCATGCCTAGAGAACTTGCGCCTGCTGGATTTAATTTCAACACTGAGCTGCTTAAAGCAGTGCGGAATGTGTGGCACTCCAGATGTTGGTAGGAGGGTGGGAGCTGCAGGTCAACAACATCTGGAGGACCGCCCTTTCTTTACCCCCCTAGAGAAAAATTTGATGTGTCCAATAACGTTCTGGACAAGCGCAGAGATATTTTCTTTCTTTCTTTAAAAAGCTTCCCACGTGTCAAATTTAGAACCGGACATGCCCCTCCTTAGTGCCCAACAGAGAGGGCAAAAACCTTTTGTTTTCTTCTTTCTCCGACCTCGTTATCACCTGTTGGGACTGGTGACGATGATCTCGGTGGGTACCGGAGGCAGGCGGTCTGGTAGTCGGAGCTGCGAACCGGACCAGGAGACGTGGCATCCGCAGAAATCCTTCAGATAGCGATAGACCCCCGACGCAGCGGCCACTCCAGTCGAGCCAGCGACCTCTATCACCCCCAGAGCCCCAGATCGCAGGCGGTAGGTATCGAGCCCGCCGGGCCCGGCCAAAGACCGGTTGACCGAGACGGAGAAAGCAGAGGCAGCCCGTGGGCCCAGCAGCCGCTCCAACAGCTCCTGCACGGCGGCTGCCTGCGGTGATTCCTCCGTCACCGGTTGCAAACGGGCGAGCGAGTCCCACAAAGGACGGGACGCAGCATCAGACGCAACCACCGTCGCCAAAACCAACAACACCCGAAGTAGCGACATCACGAGGGCCCCGCAGAGAAGCGAAAAGGAAGTCAAGGTGCCAAGGAGCCGTCCTCTCCCCCCCGCGCTTTAGCCAATCGGTGGCCGAACAGTGGGTGGGCATCTCCCTTTTGAGCCAATCGGGTCCCAAACCACGCCTCCAAAGTCCGCCCCTCGGATTCAAAGGTGCTCATATTCGAACTACACAGAGCTCTTCAGTTCCCTGGGGAAGGGATAGTTCGATCGTGTTTTAGGTGATGCCAGAGGGCCTGAGCTCTCGATCTTTTATTTTCCTCTTTTGAATGTCAGATACAAGAAAGTGCCTTTCTCTTACCTCCGATTAACTTAACTCTGATATCGAGTGATACTCGATATTTTGATTAGTGCTCTAGATGGAAAATACTTTATACAAGCATAAGAGGCGCCCCACCTTCCGTTCCACTCTGGGATGGCCTCCTTTGGTCAGCCTGATATAATCACATCAGTTTTCCATCATGAGATCTATGAGCAAATAATACCCTGGCAGCTGATCACTGTGGAGGCTGGAAAGAACCAAAACAGGAAAAAGTCCCAAGTTCCTATGGAAAACATGGAAGAAGCAATTAGATTCACATTGCACTTTTGCCTTTTTTCCCATTTGATTATACGGGAACATGGCCAAATGGGAACATGAGCATGAAACCAGAATTTGCACCAGCCATTTATGTTGTGCCTTTGATTTGCCCTCCATTTTGTTTTTCTGTGCTGTTTTAGGAATCTAGATTCCAATCTTCACCCTAACATTTTAATCAGTTTTTTCCTGCTCAAAACAGGCCCCAAGGTGGCTGATAATAAATATTTGCCATGCATCTGTTTTATTTAATATCCAGCCTTTCCTCTGATGGTCTCAAGGTGGCTAACAATTTACATAAGGCATTTAAATACTTAATACCGATTACAAATATCTAAAATAATAAATCACAACTGTTTGCTAAAATAAAATTAAAAACAATACAATGAAAGAGCTGAAGACAAATTAGTCTATGCCAGGGAAAATAACCACCCAGATCTTGCTGCGCATAAAAAGACATACTTCATTTGGCATAAACTGTTGTGGACTGCACCTGCAGAGGTGGGCTGTAGACCACAAAAATTAAGGCCAAATGAAAGCAATTCATCTTCTAAGTACTAGAAGCTTAATTTGCACCTGGCTCCAGCCAATGAATCTGGGACTTTAACAAAAACAAGAAAGACTGTGCCAGAGGTGGGCTGTAGACCACAAAAATTAATGCCAAATGAAAGCAATTCATTTTCTAAGTGCTAGAAGCTTATTTTGCACCTGGCTCCAGCGACCTCTAATAAAAACAAGAAAGACTGTGTAGGTCTGAGATGAGTCTACTTCAGCAGTAGATGGAACTGAATGGTAATGTCATGATCCAATAATTTGTAGGAAGGTTAGCTATGTTGGTTTACAGCAGTGGTTTCTACCCTTAGGTAGTAGATGGAACTGAATGGTAATGTCATGATCCAATAATTTGTAGGAAGGTTAGCTATGTTGGTTTACAGTAGCGGATTCCACCCTTAGGTAGCTCAGGTGTTCTTGGACTGCAATTCCCAGAACCCTTCACTGCCAGCTGTGTTTTTCCCAGAAGCCTTCACTGCCAGCTGTGCTCGCTAAGGTTTCTGGGAATTGCAGTCCAGGAACACCTGGGTTACCCAAGGTTGGCAACAACTGGTCTATAGCAGAAGTAACCAGGAGTCGGTAGCAGAATCATAGAACTGCAGAGCTGGAAGGGATACCAAGGATTATTGAATCCGCCCCCTGCCAGAGCAGGAAATCCGCAGAATCATAGAACTGCAGAGCTGGAAGGGACACCAAGGATTATGAATCCGCCCCCTGCCAGAGCAGGAAAGCCATAGCTAAAGCCTCCCTAACAGTGGCCACCTAACCTGTTTAAAAACTACGAGTGAAGGAGAGTCCACCAGCCTCTAGGGCAGTCCATTTCACTATTGAACAGCTCTTGTGGTTAAGTTCTTCCTAGTAGCTAGGTAAAATGATTTTTCTCTTAGGGTCTATTACTTCTGAGTGTACCGTTTGGAGCTTCAGAAAACAGTCCTTCAGATATTTGAAAATGGATATCATATCACCTCTCGGACTTCTCTAGACTAAACATACCTAAATTCTTCAGCTGTTCCTCACAGGGCTTCATTCCCAAGCCTTCTAATCCTGTTTTTCCTCCTCTGTTCCAGTCTGTCAATATCATTCTTAAACTGTGGTGCCAAGAAATTGACAATTTTCCATATAAGGTCTGACCAAAGCAGGATGAAGTAACACTCTTACTTTCTTTCTTCTTTGTTTGTGGCAGAAGCAATCCAGTCATGCTGGGCACTATACTCCTGCTGAAACAACAGAGTATTGCATTTGCTCTTTTTGCTGCTACTTCATATAGTTGGCTTGTGGCCTAGCAAGAGCCCTAGATCCTTTTCAAACATACTGTACTACTGCTGAGCCAGCTGTCACCCATTTGGTTTAAAATTAACAAAAACATACACTGAATAGAACCTGTTAGTCTTTAAGGCGCCACAAACTCCTTGTTTATAATCTAGTTAAGTTACATGAAAGTTATTTCTGCTCTGCTGTTGCTGGGTAAACTTTAGTGCATATTTTCTTTTTTAAAAAATAGCTACAGCCATGAATCTTGGTTTGATTCTGGACTCTGCTAGGGTTCTCACAAAGGTCTGAAAGGATAAATTTTTACTGATTCAACATGCATTGGTTGCCAATTTGTTTATTGGCTCAGTTCAAGATGCATAGTTTCATATTTGAGGTTCTAAACCTTTGGCCATATGCTTAGGACTACAGCTCCCATAATCCACAGTGCAGTCTGGGGTTTATGGGATGCTGAAGTCCAAAACAACTAGAGGGCCAATAGTTCCTATCTCTGATCTAAAACATGTGTGGGAAATATATGTGGATTCCCAGATGCTGAATTGCCAATAGCCCTAGCGAGAATAGTTAGAGGTGAGAAATAATGGAAACTGTAGTCCAAAATCTGGAAAACCTGGTATCACCCATCCCTGCTGTAAAGTGATTCACAAATGTTTATATCCTATGCAAGACTGTATTATAGAGCCTGGGTTCCTTCATTATACAGTACAAATAAAAAGCCTCCTTTTCCACAGAATATTTACATGTGTACACATATCTGACATATTTTATTATTTGCAGTATATTTAAAATTATATTAAAAATTAGAATAGAATTGTTGAGAATAAACAAAGACACAATGATACTAATTCTATTACACTGAAAGTTGTGTTGTTGCACATAAATGTTGTGGGACCTTTAAAAAACCCCAAAGATAATGGTACATCACACTTTCAGCTCACCAAGAAATTGAGAGAGAGAACAAGTTATTGATAATTGTTAAGAAAATCCTGCATGTCTCCTAGGTTATGTCTGTGTCCCTCTGGTAGTACAAATCCTGCACATCACAGCTCCAAATGTAACTGGAAAAAGATTGAAGTAGAACAGCAGTCCTTGACCAGGTCCACATGGTGGACAGGAAAAAAGAACATTGAATTCTAACTGGCAACTTTCAAAGTGAGGACACTCCACGCTGTTTTACTGTCAACATTTTATGAAGCTGTCTTGCACAATGCATCAAAGCCACCGATTCACCATGGCTCTACAACCAACCCTAACTTGCAGCTTCTCACTAGGTTTTCTCTCCCTGCTCTGCTGAGATCCTTCGGATGAGTACACCAAAGAGTGAATGTAAGGTGCTGTGTACACATGGCATGTGCTAATCCACTAATGAAGGATAAGCTGTTCTGCTATGTATTATTGCAGCTGCCAAATTTGGGGGAAAATATTCTATGGGACACTGAGTGCACCTTCCTAAGAATCCCATGTTTTATTAAAACAAAAATGAAGACAGAAGCAAGCTGCTAGACCTTATGATCGCAGAGATAAAATTTTAGAAGATGATAGGCAACAGATAATAGAATGTTAGAAGCTGCATATTGGCAAGAGAGAGCAACCAAGATTTCTCTATTGTTTTCATTGACTAGCATAATCCTCTTCATGAAGGTGGAAGTATAAAATTATGCAAAATAAGCAATGTATACAGTCTGTATAAACTGTGGCCCTCCATAGGTTATTGGGCTACAAGGCTCATAATTTCTCACCACTGCCTATGGTGGTAAAGGATGATGAGATTTTCTACAATAGGGAGGGAGCACAGTTGCCCTGACCTGATCTATCCAGGATAGGTAAATTGTTTTTTCTTTGAAAAAAGAAAAATGCTTCTAATAACTATGTTACGTACTTCAGTTCTACAATGTATAAAAAATGATAAAAAAGAAAAATTGTTTCCTAAGTCACCAGGATAATTAACCAGTCCTGCTGCGCAAGGTTGAGAGTCACAAGAGCATTACTAAACCAAAATAAATCATTCTACAATGTCTGTGATACTAGATCTAAAATAAAGCAGTAAATCTTTTCTGTTTTGGACATATTCTTTTATTTTTAACTCCTTTATGTATTTAAAAAATGGAATGGCAACATTATTGAAAGGCCTAAAATAGTAGAATCAGGCCCTGCAAATGTACACATTAAATACACAAACATGGTGGGCATAAGGCAACAGTTATTTTAAAGAAGGCAGGAAGATCATCGCTCAAAAGGTTTCCCTCCCTCTTTCCGCTCCCTTATTATGAGGTTCCTTACACAGATTGGAAATAATTTTCCTGTAATGAGTGGAAGGGATAGGAAAGGATGAGTGCGCACATGATTGGAAGAAGACACTGGAATCAATGGAGGAAAATGTCTGACTTGGTTCCCATGGCAACTTCTATAGACTTTGTGTGCTGATGATTGTTGACAGATGGCTGGGAAGCAATACAAGGTTAAATTTTACACTGAATCACTGGCAAGGTGTTAATGAGAAACATGTAGTGCTGAAGAAATTATTAATTCTGGAACAAGTGATTGAACTCCAAAAACATCCACCTGGACGGGTCAGCCAGAAGGAGGGAAGAAAATCAGTTAGCAACTGAACGACTGTTGCACGGCCTGCCAACTTACAAACCACCTTCTTCCTCAGACTCTCATTTCCACTTAACTGAATCAAATTAAAAGTACAAAAACAGGAGTCAAAAGCTCTACTTCAGGCTGTTGTGGATGGAAGAGGAAAAGGAAATGGTAGATAGTCCTGAAACCTCATTTAATACAGGTCACCAATTTTCTTCACAAGGATCCAGTGCACTGTCAAGCAACGTAAGAGAACTGCACTGCAACTCCCATAGACCTGGGCCACCTCAGCTAATGAACTAACACTGCCATTGAGGAGGGATGATGGGTAGCGTAGCTTAACATCTGTTAGACTACAGGTTGCCCACGTTCGATTCGGGGTGTTTACATGTCAACTTCTCTCCACCTCATTATGCTAGGAATTCTTACCCGCAAGGATAAGTTCATTCTTATGGAGCTAATGTTCTCAAACCTTTCCCCTCATGGAAGGATGGGGGGAACCACTAGAGACAAGAAATGAAGGAACTGTTCTCTTCCCAACATAAAAGCTGGTAGCTGTACTTTTATTTCACTGCATGGTGGCACATGTATTAGCCGCCTCCTCACCTGACAGACATTTTGGGAAAACTGACTGGAGTGTATGTGTCAGTCAATGTGGCGGCTTTAATGTATTTATTAGATAATGTATTTAATGTATTTATTAGATAATATGATAACCTGAAATTATCTAGTGAGCAATAAAACTGTTTGCCTATATGGATTTTTTTTTAAAAAAATTGTAATGCTCCTGCCACCATCCAAAACACATGGAACAATCAATTTGGAAGACACTCACTGGTATATGACCAACAAAAAACACATTAAAGATCAGGGGGAGGGGAGGAAGAACAAAAGAGAGATAAATTAATGCCAGAAGTACCACAGTCGGAAGCAGCACGACAGATGAAAAGTGAGACCTGATCAGACTTAAATGTGCTAGAGGCCAAGTGCAGTGACTACCATTAGACTTTGGCTACCATTTACCAAAGAAATGTGAGGTCCAGTAAGTGCAAGGAGAAAAACAATCAGGAATCGTTCATCAATCAGGAAGTGGGGCAGGGAAGCCAGAGTGTTTGGGGGAGAGGGAAACACGCTTGCTCGTTCTGATCTGAAAAAGTAAGAAGCTTTTGATTTATTACTATCATTCTGCAAGACAACGATTTCCAACTTTGGGTAACCCAGGTGTTCTTGGACTGCAACTCCCAGAAACTTTGACCACTAGCTGGGCTGATCAGGGTTTTTGAGAGCTACAGTCCAAAAGCACCTGGGTTACCCAAGGCTGGGAGCCACTGCTGTAAGACAAGGATGTGGAAATGCTGACCCTCAAGATGCTTATGTTTAAAGCACCATCCACCTTGACCAACATAGCCAACAGTAAGACAACATGAAAGCTGCAGACCAAACCATCTGGAGGGCCAAAGATTCTTCAGTCCCGATCCAGGTATGAATAAAATGCCATCTGAAAATGCTTTTGGTGGGATTTGTAAGTCTTGAAAGTGCATTGGGGGGATTAATAAAGGGGAGTTGTCTCTTCTTTCCTCCCCATATTACACTTTGCCCATGTCTCGTAGCCAGAGGTGATTTGGCCTCAATATTCTTTGCAGGAAAGAAAATGACACTTGAGTGGTGGGGCTTGTGAACAGTTAAAAAAGAAAGGGACGGTTTTAAAAGGAAAGTCCTAAAAGGAACTCTTCAAGTATGGTCCCACCAAAGGCTTTTTGGCAAGGTATGTGTGTGTGTGTGTATGGGGGGGAGAGCAAGGAAGAAACTCCCTATTGCTGAAAGGTCCCCACCCTTCTGCTTCTTTTCTACATTCACACGTCAACAAGAAATGGCTGAACCTTTAACTAAGGATGGAGTGCAAACAAGTGAAACTTTCCAGAAGGTGGAAAGCATGAAACTACAGAAGACCCACAATCAAAAATAGAAAAATTGTGAAAGGCGAGTGAGAATGGGGTAGACTGTAGAAAAGGAGCTGTCATAAGCCCCTTGTCAGCAGGTCTCTTAAGCTATAGAAGGTCCCTTGTTCGATCTCTGATGATTACGTGATCATTCTAAAAAAAAGAGAGTGAGGAATAATCTCCAAGAGGATTCCCAGTTACTCTCTTCTGGAAAGGAAGACCCAATGGATGGAGTGATAAGGCTCAGAAACCAACAGGGCTGATGGCAGTTCCCAGTTCATTAGAGGGAGGGAAGTGTGAAGCAGAAATAAAAATCTGCATTGGTTGTCATCTCTCCCCACACCACCAAGCCATAGTCCCAAGAACATAAAGCAGAACTTCTGCACATCTGATTTGTGCGTGACACGCGGCGAAAGGCAGCGAGGCAAATGTTCAGCTGTTTCCAAGCTTCAACAAGATGGAAGGAATGGTGGTGAAAAATCCTATGCGATCATCAGCTGCTACCCTACTTGTCAATAAGCCCTCCCTCCTTCAGCTTGAAATAGAAGAACTTCTCCAGGGTGTTGGCACACTTGCAGTAATCACTCTCGGGTGGGTTGTATTCACGGCAGTTGGTGATGATGCGCTGCAAGTCAGCAATGAACAGCTTCTTGGTGACATAATATCGGTTCTTGAGACGTTCCGTCATTGTCTTGAGGTCTGCAGGAGAAGGAGATGATTTGAGGGTGAGAAGGGAAGAGGCAAGATCACTTTTGTGGCATGTTGTAAAAACTGAAGCATACACACTTCTGGCTTCACCGTTTTTTCACACAATGCTTCCAAACTAGCATCAGAACTGAGAAACATCATTATTATTATTATTATTATTATTATTATTATTATTATTATTAGACTACATTAGGAAAACCTCCAGATGGTAAGAGTTGTTCCAGCAATGGAACAACCTTGCCAACATTGGAGGTTTTGAAACACATTAGGTGGTTATGTGTCATGAATGCTTCAGGCATAGGTTCCCTGCATCTGCAGGGGGCTGGACTAAAAGACCCCTGGTATCTCCTGATCCTCTGAATTTTTCAGAATCCCTGCCAATGTGGCCACCAGCTGTGCTGGATAGAGGATTCTGGGAGCTGTAGACCCCAAAAAACAACTTTTCCAAAGTCTGCCTGGTGTCCTCTGGATCTGTTGGACTATGATCCCTATCATCCTCAGCTAATATATCCAACATAGTAAAAAGCAAGCAGAAGGCCCCAGCCTGGACAGCAGATGTTAAGAGACATGGACAACAGCTTACATGGGGGGAAAGTATGTGGAGGGAGGGAAAGGGGGAGAGAAAGGGAGAGCGATCGAGAGAGCAAGGAGAAAAAGTGAGGCTCTTTTAGGAATGCTTCATGTGGTCTGCTTTAGTTCACAAGTATTCAGCTAAAATGCTCAAAGTGACAACGGCTGAAATCGTACGCTTTGGCATAGTTAAGTTGCAACTAAAATTGTCTTACTTTACCAATAGAACATATGCAGGTGACTCACCAAATCTGCACTGATTCAGTGGGCCTACTCTATCTCTGACTTGCTACACTAAGCAACAGGATTTCAGCAATTGTCTTCACCTTTCTAAGACCATCTCTGCTCTCAGGAAAGCTAGGAACTCCTTCTGTGCATTGAAAACAGTTTGTAGTAATCTGACTGGCAATGTGATTGTCACAGTAGGACTCACATTCTTCAGCTTTGTGGTATGATTCTGATTTTTACATCAGCCACACTGATTTCCACTTGCCTTCTTTCATTTGAAGGTTAGCTACTTACCAATGGGGAAACGGATGATCTCATAATAGTCTGGAGCCTCAGATTTCTTGACTGGTTCCATGAATGGCCAGGCACTGGGGTGGGTCTAGTGGATTAATGAAAAGGAGCATGTTAGCTTGTAGAGTAACAGCAGCTTCTTAAAAGTGATAGTAAAACAACAGCTCTACTAGAACATGCAGAAAGCTTCCTCTGGATATGGGGGTGGAAGAGACAAAATTAAGAGGAAAAAGAGGTTTCTGGCAGAGAGCAGACTGTCTACAAAATTTATTCTTACATGTTTTTTTTTTAAAATCAGCTTAAAGAATGTTCCACATAACACAAAAGCCTGCATACTGCCTTGTGGTTGGAGTCTTCATTGCTTTTCTCTGTTCTTCTCTGTTTGGACTTATCCAAATGGCTGTTTGTTTTTTATCCATGTTGCAAAACTTCTCCAAACTATCATTGTAAGTCAGAAATGACTCACTGGCAGAAAAACAACATTTGCATAACAGAATCCAGAATTTCATCACTCAGTGTACATTAGATAACTTGCATGGAATAAAATCAACAACCAATCAATCCAAATAATATTCCATTCACATGATTCGCAAGCTAGAATGCAAGCTTCCCAGATAGATTTTGCAAATGGACTGAATAGGACTTCCTTGTCCTACCAAGTCTAGAGTGTATAAACAGGAGAAACGACAGTGATGCTCACTCCACCATGCTTACACCTCTGCCCTCTGGCTCCAGACAAAGTATCACTATATTAAGTCACCTTGATTTGTGCAAGGAGATTTTTCAAGGTGGTATACAACTGGTCTGGATCCTTAAGCTCCTTCCTGGAAGAGAAAATCAAAGCCAACACCATCAATAGCCTAAGAGAAATTAGGGATCCTATTTCTTCCCACTAAGATAAATGATCACTGTCTGCAGTTCTACATATATATGTCCTATTAAACACAATTAAGTTTTTTTTAAGGGTCGAAAGATGGAATATTATCAATTGGCTTTTAAAAATCTGAAATATGTGTGCCCTTCCAGATGTTGTCGACTCTAGATCTCAAAATCCTTCACCACTGGCTATCCTGGCTAGGGCTGATGGAAGCTGCCGTTCAACAATATGTGGAGGGAGGGATGCATATTCCCATTTCCTATCCTGGTATGGCTGAGTCAGAAAGATGCAGATGATCCAAAAAATATCTCCTAGGCTGCAAGTTGGTTGATGTTTTGGGGAAACGTAAGAGGAGATGGTCTGTCTGGAGGGGATCAGGCTTACAGTATTTCAGTGAACTGCTGATCCTTTCAAGTTGATGGAGAAGGGTTGTAGGATAGGGGAGAATGGACTTCCATGCTGCTTACCCTTTCTCCTTTCCCAAGGGCTTCCATCCTGTTTCCCCTAGAAGAGAGAAGAGTTACATTCCATTTCAAAAGAAACCAGCGATCCATGTGGTCTATTCATGTGAAAAAGGAGGATCCCACAACGTTTGTATTAGGCATTTGTCCCTTCCTAATTCCAAATGAGGGCAGCTAGTTGCAGTGACGCAGCCTCCTGGTTAACATAGCCTTCACAGTTTCCAAAGAACGAACCCATCTCTAGGCCTAAGACCTTTCATACCCTTTTTAACCACTGACTCAACCTAAAATGAAACCCAGGTAACCACACAGCTAAACTACCTTTTAGTGGTGAAAATTCTTGATGCCCAAAATGACATGGGGACAGATGGGGACACACACACACATTCTAGATGAGTGTGAAGAATATTCTGGTCTGTTGCCAGAAATTAAAGATGGAAGTAGAGCTGCTGAGATGCCATAATTGAGCAAGAGTGGCCCATAATAGTTTGACAAACAAAGCAAACAAAGCTCTGAATAGAATATTTTTCCAGCCTGTGGCTGGACAGCACTACTCACACGAATCCCCAAGGCTTTGGGGATGCCAAACACTCCCCCCCCCCAAGATTGCCCCTCCCCCAGACTCACGGATGCCTGGAATGCTTTCAATTGGGATATGCCGCACACCCTCCTTGAAGCAAGTGAGGCCAGGGTAGACTTTGCGGATCTGTGCCTGTTTCCTCTCTATCAGCTTCTTGATGATCTGGAGAGAGGGAGGGAGGAAATTTTAGTTCATTAACAATTACTTAATTTATTTATATGAAGGCTAAAACTGGTGTGATCACAGAAGCAGAGATGGACATGAAACAACCCAATTTTCCTTCCTTCCCTCTCTTCTTGTTTTACCTCCTTCTGCTTCTTGATGATGTGGGAAAGCTCTGTGTAGGGAATCCGGGGGTTCAGTTCACACTCCATCAAAGTAGCTCCCTCGTAGTCTTTGATGTAACCAAGATATCGGCTCTTGGGGACCTTTATGTCTTTGGAGAAACCCTGGCAGCCAGAGAAGAAAGTCCCTGTTAATTCTTTAGCAGAGATAAACCACATGTGAACAACAATAAGCTGGCTTAATAGCTCAGTGAGTCGGATACCTGGCTGCAGAGCCAGAGACGGTAAGAGCAGCCAGCCCGTGTGGCCTTTGGCAAACTGCACAGTCCCAGGGTGCCCCCCCCAAACCCTGGAAAGCTTGCCATTATTAGTAGTAGTAAGAACTGAAAGATTGTCATCCCCCCGCTTCCAGCTTGCAACTGCTTCGCACTATTAATTTGCTCCAAAAAAACCCTGGAAAGCTTGCCATTATTATTAGTACAGTAGTAAGAACTGAAAGATTGTTCCCCCCTCTCTCTTCCAACTTGCAACTGCTTCGCACTATTAATTTTCCACAGTTAAGTAATCAATTCTTTTGAGGAAAGGAAGAAGGACACCAACCCAAAGAAGGCCTCCAAGATTGGAGGGGATCTGGAAAACAGCAGTCCAGAAGAATCTGGAGGGCCACAGTTGCCCACCCCCCGGTCTGCTCTAACAAGCATGTGAAGGAACTTGCCGGAAGGCTCAGGGATGCTCTCTCCTCCACCCATGCAGAGCAAGAAAGAATAACTCAGAAACACTTGCTTTTCCTTTGTTTAAAAAAATCACCACTTGCTGTGTCATTCAGTCCCAGAACTGTATTTTACCTCAGTTATGATTTAATTTACGTAGCAGGCAAACTGCAGACCATAAAAGTCCCTCCAAGGACATTCTCCTGTACTCCCAAATTTCTGTCTCATAAAAAAAAAACTCTCAGTCTTGTGGCACTCAAAACTCCAATCAATTTTATCAGGCATAAGCTTGCAAGGACCACAGTCCACATCAGATGCAATAGATGCAAGTGGTCTCTAGTCTAAACAATCTACTGCCAAACAAAACTGGTCAAATACCACACTGACTCACACAATTTGGGACTTGTGTCTATTAACCAACCACTTGTTGTTTGGGGACCATGCATAAATAGCCACAAAAGCTTATATCCACGAAAGTTTATATCCACGAAAGCTTATATCCACAAAACCTTATGTGAAAATATAGCAGATAATCTTCAAGGTGCTACAATGTTATTGTCTTCTTTGTTTGTTTTTATTTTTGCTTTTGTTTAGTTTATTTTCAAATAAAACTGGTTATTCTGTAAGGAGCCACAATGCTCTGTTTCTGGTGCAACAAAGCACCTTAGCTAGCCTCTAGAAATGTACATCTTATCGTTCCTCTAATGACCTCAAAACAGTATACAGTGGTGCCCCGCATAGCAACGTTAATCCGTTCCGGATTAATTGTTGCTATCCGGAAACATCGCTATACGGATGGAAAAACCCCATAGGAACGCATTAAACTTCGTTTAATGTGTTCCTATGGGGGGAAACTTACCGCTAAGCGGGAATCCTCCATCCGGCCGCCATTTTCGCCGCCTCGGTAAGCAAGGAAATCGTGCAAAAATGCTTGCGGTGGCCATTTTGTGCACCTGGCAGCCATTTTGGAACCGCCGATCAGCTGTTCTAAAAACATCGCAAAGCGAAGATCGCAAAGCGATCGCAAAGCGAAAACATCGCAAAGCGTTTCGCTTACGATCATCAAAATGCGATGTTTATCCTATCTAAACATCGCAATGAGATCACATTAGCGATCGCAAAAAACAGTTCGCTATGCGGATTCGTCGTTAAACGGTGCGCTCGTTATGTGAGGCACCACTGTACAAGGTTCTTGTGCACACCATTTTAATGCTCTCTCAAGCAGAACGGTCAGGGCTGGGAGCAGAGCCGAGGAACGGACTGGCCCAAGATTACCATGGTTTCATGATTAAAGAGGACATGAATTGGGATCCTCTAAGTCTCAGCCCAATACACTTAACTACTACTACACACTGCCTCTTATGGTTTCCTGAACGGTTTACCTAAATACAAAGTCAGTTGTAAACAAATGCTGTCAGTGATGCTGTAGTACCTGCTTCTTGAAGTAGCCAATGGCATATTCATCAGCATAGGTGAGGAAGTAGAGAATGCCGTGTTTGATGTGGTACTCTTTCAGATGATTCATTAGGTGAGTCCCATAGCCCTTCAATGAGGCAAGGAGAGGAGGAAAAGAAAATTATTGCAGGAAAATCAGGAAGAAGTCCACAGACTAGGTACTCATGCAACAAAATGCATATGATATCATGTGTAAATTATTTTGCATTAATTCAAGATTGATTTGTAGCAAATTATAATCAATAAAGACAACCCAAGGTAATTAATACATCAACTGAACAGTTATTATGTTGTATGGCTTTTAAGCCAGCAGATGCTCAACGGAGTTCAAAGTCCCTCCTTGCCGTGACAAGAATGTGGGCCCAGAGAGGAAACCTTGGGCCTTTCAGATGTTTTGGACTACAGCTCCCACAATCCCCTTCCACTGACACCTGAGCACTTAATTAAGACTCCCAAAGGTTCCCCATCCCAGCATTCAGGTAACTGTGTTCTAGCAAGCACCCTTTTATTTGTCTTTTCTCAGAAGCCATGTAAGAATGAATTAAAAATAATGCTGTAATCCCAGATATAGGTTTACTCTGAAGCAATCTCCACCTGTACTAAATGGAATTCACTCTCAGGTAATGGAGGACTGGATTACATCTGGAACTGACTGCTCATCTCTACCTCACACTTCCAGTGAATTGTGCGAAAGAGAAACATCCACAAGTTCCTGAACAAGAGCAGGAGAGAAGCCTAGCTGGGGAAGAGGAAGCCATTCACCTCCACTCCTACTCACTAGTTTCATTATCTCACTTTTTTTGGCACACCATCCCCTTTCTGTGGTATAATTTTGCTCATCTCCACACAACCCATGCTCTAGCACAACTCTCATGCTCACTACATACAGCACGATGATTCACCCCAATTTAAATTCATTTTTTTCTCTCTCTCACATAAGGTTACTGGAGACTTAACTCACTTCTTCTTGTGCCTACAAAGGACTATCATTATTTTTTCACCTCTTTTACCATTCAGTTTTTGGCTCCTTCCTCTGATATAATTTTCAAGCTCTGTGGTTCACTTTCAAGTGTGTTCACTCCCTTGTTGCTCATCACATTTCTCTGCTTTCTCTTCATGATCCGTGTCTGCTACCCATAACTCTGGTTCCACAGCCAGATACCTAAACCATTGAGCTATCCAGCTGGCTTTGGAAGCAGTATAAGGACATGCACAGGCAACAAGCATCCACATTCCTTATCTTTATCCCAGACATGATCTTCCAGATAAAGCACTACTGCCAAAGTACAACTCCCATCATACTTCACTACTGGTCACGTTGGAAGGCATGGATGACACCTGGAGTTCAGGAACACCTGGACAGCCACACCTTACCCAACTCCACCTTAGTGCCCACTGGTTTTGGTGGGCAAGAGCATTCTTTCATTTAAAATACAAAATTTTGATTTTTTTGGTGTATGAAAGGTGACTGATCTCTTGGTATGCAAGAAACCATTCTTTGCTTGGCCTTCTCACACATTGCTTTTTACTTAATAAATATATTTTTTAATAAATCCATTCAAAACAGCATAACAAAAACAATACCTATTGTGTTACAATAATAAAAACCTAAGGCCTTCAGATCCCGCTTGCAGATATCCTTGTATGGCAGCTGTGGTCTCCCTCTGGGGTCCTTTCCCTGCACTAATTCTCCATACATTTTGGAATCCGACCGTCAGCCATTCTCACAACATGTCCAACCCAATGTAGATATCACTGTTTCAGTAATGTATACATGCTAAAAATTCCAGCTTCAGCATGACAACAAAAAAAAAAATCCCAAAAAGGGTCCGCGCAAGGACACAGCCCTGTTTCACTCTGCTTCAGATGTCAAAGGAATCTAATGTTGAGCCATCAAAAACTACAGTGCCCTTCATTTCTTCATGAAAGGACCTGATGATGTTAAGGAGTCGAGGTAGACATTCAATCTTGGGACGTATTTTAAAAAGGCCGTCCCGGCTAACTAAATGAAAGGCCTTTGTAAGATCCATGAAGGCCACAAAGAGTTGCTGTCATTGTTCCCTACATTTCTCCTGCAACTGTCTGAGGGAAAATACCATGTCAGTGATGAACCTATTGGCTCGAAATCCACACTGTGGTTCTGGATAGACTCTGTCTGCAAGCACCTGGAGCCTCTTCAGCACAACATGGGCAAGCAGCTTCCCTACAATGCTGAGATGTTGAACTCTTATATGAAGATATATGAGTTTATGATCAGGGTTGTTAATGAGAGGACCTTCTGGAGTCACAGTTCCACCAGAAGTTAGAAACAATTATGACACGTAACACACAGATCTCCTAAATTTTTTAACACTTCCTTGATTGATTTGTACTGATTGTGAACTTTGAAATATTTTAAGTGCAGAGAGTGAAGTGTGATCTTAAAGCTTAATTCTCTTTCCAACCTTGGCAATCACTCTCTTAGTCCCAATACACAACCCCACAAAAGAAAAGAAAATACATCCTAACTGCCCTACCTTCACTTGCTCATTGGACGTCACCGCACAAAAGACAATCTCCGTGAATCCCTGTGTTGGGAACATCCTAAAGCAGATGCCACCAATCACTCGTCCATCCTTGATCAGTGCAAGAGTCTTGTGCTTACTGCCAAGAAAAATGCAGGAAATATTTAGGACTAGAGAGTCAAGTCGAGTATTCTCCCACCCATCATATTTTCTTGATAGAATCTAAGAAAATTTTACGGCAGTGCCTGCCTCTTCTGCTCTCCAGCATGAACCTTCAACTGACATGGTTCCCCACCTAAAATCTGGGGGGGGGGGTGCC